GGAACGCATTCGTCAGTGAAAGAATATCTACGATAGATATAATATAATTGGAATATCGAAAATCCAGGAGAATAGCATTTTTTACCATCAGTAGATATTTTCAATAGATATCCCTACTTTCGATATTATCTCGAAGCCGATATAATATCTACGCCGCGAGAATTGGGCCCCTGATAGTCTTTATATCTACGCAGACAGTGGAAAAACAAAAAATATTGTATATCCACAAGTATTGCAAAATTAAACTTGTATGAAATGTATTCTTTGTTTTGTTTCTCATTTCTCAACCATTCAATCACAATGTACCACTGCGAAGCCTGGCACAGCCTGTGTACAGCTAGTTTATTTATATAAAATCACATACAAAAATATTTATTACATTACAACTTACATAACCAATACAAACTTGTAAATAACTTACATCTAAAATACTTACACTAGCATATTACATAATGATAAATTATATACAATATCTTATCTACTAAATAATTACATAACTTATATGTTTACTAAGTATATGAAGCGCGTAGTATCAACGAAGCGCAAGTGTAGCTTCCGCGCTGTACGAGCAGTCTAATGGTAGCCATACACACTACGAGAAATCGCTACGATCAGACTGTACAGTTCGAACGGAACAGTTTATCGTACGTATAGGAAACTGTGCAGTTTTATAACATACACGCTACGATTTATCGGTACCGTTCGAACTGTACAGTCTGATCGTAACTATTTCTCGTAGTGTGTATGGCTACCTTAAGCGCATCCTTTTGTTTCCTATTTTTTGTGCGATCTATTGAATGCAAGCTATCGACAGACGTTACAGATCTAGGGATGTTCCGATACCATCAAGGTATCGATACCTACTCATTTCGATAGTACTCAAATCTTTTTTCGATACTACTTAAATAAATACTCCTAAAGTATCGATACTTACTGATATCGATACTTTTAGTACTTATTTTTATTTATTTTTTACTTTGAGGAAACTAAAGTAAAAACAATAAACGTCGAAGAACAAAAGTGAGAAAAAACGAGAATATAAATGTTTTGTGTCACTTTTTTTTAACATTTTAGGAATTCAAAGGGATTATTTAACATTTTAGGAGAGCAGTTGCAAAAAAGAAAAGTATAGGATCCTACCTTTCATTGGTCCCTTTATTTGCTTTTTCTCTAATTTGCCTTTATCCAAAATTCACACAGAATTCACAGACTTAAAACATTGTTTACATTTTGCAATTGTTTCGTTTTATTTGGTAAAATTTTATTGATTTTGGTGGTGCCATGATAACACAATAAATAAAATTACTTGAAAACAATCATTTGTATATGCAAATTAAATCTCGACTTGACAGTTTGAAAATTCATTATGTTGCCAATGATGACAACTTACATGGCGGGCGGACAGCTCTCTCGTTTTCGGCTCGGGCTCGGATGAAGTCGGACGAGTTCGGCTCGCCTGGTGCAACCACACCGCTATGCGATGAATACCGGTAACCGAGCGAAAGGGCTTTTGCTCTCTCATACTGTCTGCGTTCGGAAATTTTATCTTTTTTAAATGGTGGTGCTGATTCGATTTGATACCAAGTACTTTTGTTTCGATACCGAGTATTTATCGCAAGATTGATTCAATGCTATAAATACTTGGTATCGAATCAAAAGTATCGAGTACCTACTCGTATTTACTAGTATCGGAACATCCCTATACAGATCGCCAGTAATAAACTGACCACGACGCGGAGCGCACGCCGCTTATACGCACGCACCTTTACTTCGTCTGCTCGCGCGTCGATATTTAATATGAAACCTCTTTTCATTTTCTGATTCTATCCGAGGTAGAAACATGATATAATATTAAACACGTAAAATTGTAAACATGATGTTTATTTCAGTGACAACCAGTGAAAAGTCTTCTTCTTCTTTTATTATGGCATGACGGCTAATGTTGCCATTTGCCATATGCAAGCTTGATTTCATCTAATTGGTTAGTGCATCGATTAAACTTGTTCGATTAGAGGAGCGGAATATTGATAGTTGATGTTGGATATGTGGTGATTACAGATGGTAAAAAGTAGGAAACGATATGAACAAGAAAAAAAAGGAGATTTGCGATGAACAACAACAAGGTACAACAGGTGAGTAGGTAGGGGAATATAGGTAAATAAAGGGAACTAAGTGAAAAGTCTAGTCAAAGAGATGAAATGACATATTTAAAGATGTTTTGTTTATAAAGAGATTAAAATATAAATAGATTATAGAGTTATTATACAACATCACACCTCACGGGGAATTAAAAGCCGAATCTGTCGGGTGGCCTGTGATGTCGTTCCGAGCGACGCAGCACAGGCAAAGGTGTTGTGTCCTGTGTGGGTTCAAGAGCCGGTGGTTCTAGCCAGGACGGGCCCGGCTGTCGCGATGGCATGCGACGTCGTTGTTGGCTGCCGTACCGGCATGTATTCATATACTTATATTGTTAAGTGTTGTTGGAAAAATTTGTAGGATTGACTGGATATACGTTATTGCTGTCATCGCTACCATCTTCATCATCTTTGGAGTACGATACATGTCTCGCTTTAAACTGTTCTATCCTGGCTTTTCCATTTAAAATGCAAACACACAGCAACGAACTTTGTTTACTGTCGGATCTGCATTAATTTTATCATTTCTTTGGCTTTGTATAAGTGCTTGTTCCAGTTTAGTAGCCGTCCCAACTACATCAATAAACTTTGCAGTATTGTTAGGGTGTTCTCTTATAAGGTCTTGTTGCCATTGGAGATTGTTTATATCAATTACAAATTGATCTCTTAAGCGTTCATCTAAATTAATACCAAACTCGCTGTATAGTCCGGTCAATTTAGACAATTCAAATTACAAAAACGCGATAGAGCCAAATATTGGTGGAGACCTTTGTTTTACCCTTATGAATAAAAATTTAAAAGCCCCCATCAATCCCATGCGAGCTTCAAAAGTGATGCGGGGCCAAAGGTCAAAATTTTAGGTTTTTTGACTTTTTCTCAAAAACGGTAAGTTTAATCAAAAAAATACTTCAGACTAAAATTGTAGACCTCAAAATTCTCTACAAAAATGGTTCTTATAATATTTTCTCTAAGTATCACCGTTCCTGACATATCGTGATTGTGAGAGTCACGTACTACGTAATATGCACACATTTGTTACATGAATACATATTCAGGTTTCACGCAAAAATACTTATTTGTGTCTCTTTTATGAATAAACTATATACTAAATTATGAATATACCATATTGAGAAAATATATAGTTAAAGTTGTAGTGGGTGAAGATGTTGATTTGCTGGTACTCCAATTGATAAAATTATTAATTTTTTGAAACCTGGAAAGGCTCAACAGCGTATAGTAATATATTCTTCAAGAAGTTTATCAGCTTACCCTAAATGTCAAAACTATATTTTATTTTTACATGCGGTAACCGGTTGTGACACAACCAACAACTATATCAGCAATGTACAGAAGGGGCAAAACTTCAATATTGAAATTATTTGAAAAAAAAAGTATTAATTGATTGCGCCAAAGCATTTATGAATATAGATTCTTCACCTCAAACAATAATTACAAAAGGAATTCATTTTCTTCTTGCTGTTTATGGAGCTCCAAAAAAAATAAATTGCATTGATAAATACAGGTATTTAACCTTTCTCAAAAATACACGAAACAAGAAGCAAGTACAACTATCTTGTCTTCCTCCAACTTCGGCATCTGCTGTTTAACATTTGTATAGAGTATATTATCAAGTTCAGATATGGCAAGGCAATGAACTGAACCCTGAAGACTGGGGTGGGAAATTAATAAATAATACTTTGGAACCAGTACAGACTTTACTTCCTCCTGCTCCAGAAAAACTACTTAACACTATTTTTTGCAATTGCAAGAAAGGTTGTAGTGCCAAATGCGGCTGTAGAAAAGTAGGATTACAGTGTTCTCTAGCGTGTATCAATTGCCAAGGTCGGTCTTGCTCAAATGTATAATTGAATACAACAGAGGAAGATTCATATGATTTTGATGAAGAAACAACTGATTTATCTACATTTGAACAATTTTTGAACATTCAGCAAGAGGAAGAAGAAAAAGAAGAAGAAGAAATCGAAGAAGACATGATTAATGAAGTCGACTATGAAGAGTATGAATCAGATTGAAATATGAAAAGAAATCAGAACGGCAATTAAATTCAATAACAAAAATCAATATTAATAATCTTCCTTCAGTTAAATTCGTATTGTCTGTAAAAAATACATCATAACGGTTAGTGGAATAGGCCTACCGGGGAAACCACGTTAAGACACGCCGAGTACACTACCTCATAGGTGGTGAGGAAATGTGTGCATATTATGTAGTACATGACTCTCACAATCACGATATCTCAGGAACGGTGATACTTAGAGAAAAAATTATGAGCACCATTTTTGAAGAGAATTCTGGGATCTACAATTTAAGTTTAAGGTATTTTTTGATAAAACTTACCGTTTTTGAGAAAAAGTCAAAAAACCTAAAATTTTGACTTTTGGCCCCGCATAACTTTTGAAGCTCGCATGGGATTGATGGGGCCTTTTAAATTTTTATGACTAGTATCCAAGGAATGTATTTAAAGTACGAACTGAGAGATTCGTCTCTTCTTCTATAACGTGTACCAAAAATGTAAAGTTCAATGTTGAAACGTTGAATATAATAGTCCCATTCTTCCGTATTCGGATTAAAATGATCGAAACAATTTTTTTCCGTCGTCATCCTCGTCGCCATACAAATGATATAATATTAAACACGTTAAATTGTAAACATGATGTTTATTTCAGTGACAACCAGTGAAAAGTCTAGTCAAAGAGATGACATGACATATTTAAAGATGTTTTTTTTTTATAAAGAGATTAAACATAAATAGATAATAGAGTTATTCTACAACAGAAACCTACCACCAACGCCTACACTACGGAACCCCTTCACACGCATTGTTCATCACAAAAGTACACTTACGACAATCTTGCTCGTCGGTGCTGTCAGGACAATCTGCTTCCTTGTCACAACGCCAATGTTCCGAAATACATTCGCCGGCTGCACACATGAACTGCTTCTCTTGGCATCTGGAAAAGAAAAATATTCAAGTTTTCGGGGGATGACAACAGAACTCTATTACAAAACCTCTGCTGTTCCTCTGTCCAGCCGTCTGTCAATGTGCTGTATTCAAAGCTGCATCTCATTCATAAACCGTAATAGTGGAGGCAGTTCCGGAAAAAGAGACATGGAAAAGTCTCGAGAAAGCTGAGATTTATCAAACGATCCATTACGAAATATTATGTCCCTGTTTTGACTCTTTTGATGTGTGTTTAATGGAAAAAAGCACTTGGAGCGGGTTACTCAGCGGCAACGAAGAAATATCAGTAAATAGTTAGCGTATGTATTTACAGTTACAGTACACGATATATTGTAACAAGATTTCTAAACTTGGGGAAACTTTTTTTTTTGTAAGTCATAACTCATACGACACGAAAAAACATTGCACACGCCTTAGGCATAATACTTAATCAAACCAATTCATCGGCTCTCTATCGCTACTCAGTCAGAGGTTGAACATTCATCTCGAATGTTAATCATATCGACGGTTTTGTTCTATAATGAGTCCGCCCACGGAAGCGGGATATAACGGGCGTCTCCGCGGGGCGTAGGCTGCGTGTAGGCGCGTTGCCATGGTTACCGTACAACCTCCACCCCCGCTACCCCGCATCCCAACCCACAGCTTCGTATTGATCTACCGACCATTACAAGACGCCCAGTATACGCCAATTACATTGTATAACAGTCATAGCTAACTTTCTAAAAGAAATGACATAATAAGCAAATTACAGACGATTAAATTTTTATCCGCTAAATAGGTACATAATAATGGGAATCATATTCTCAAGACTGTATCTTATGTCATTACTTTACATAAGTAAAAATATATCTGCTCGTAATTATATTTATTACCTACTTGGTAGGTTTGTATTGATTTTATCAACATAGGCATTCATCTGTGATAAGCAACGATATTTCAAAATAATTCTAATCATACAAACTAAAATTTTAAGCTGCTTTATACGCAAAATTGCCTATGAATATTTTACTCACAAGGTATTGAACTAACAATACTTTGCGAGTACAACAAATATTGTACTCACAAGGTATTTTAACAATAAAAAGATATATGAACCTACAGTTCTCTAAAGTTCATTAGTTCACAGTATGCGAAATCAAAAAGAAAGGTAAATTGAAAGGTAGCAATACGATCGAATCAGCACAATTTTTAAAATTCAATGAATCCATAGTCTCAAGAGATTATTAGATAATCCGCCCACGGTGCATCCACCTCGCGTTTGTATCTTCTATGATATGGCCCACTGACTCCATTCATTCCATTTGAGCTGTGAGGTGAGAATACTTAATATAATGATCAATTAATGCGCATATATCTGCCTAAGTGTAATTCGTCCATGAATATTTTACCATCACAACTATATTGTTCAGTAAACTTGTACATGAATATTTCGAGGCACTACCTAAATACCTACCAACTCTGAAAAACCGAAGCTTTTCACGTTCTTTCAGTTTACAATTTAATTACAACTTAAGTACTCAACGACTTAAGAACGTCATGCCATAGCCATACATACTGAAGTTACTAAATTTGAATGAAAGAGCACTTAGTCCGCTTTGGGCTTTGAAATTCGCTATATCCCTATGTCTGATGGGGATAAATGTTGCAGAAAATGTACCTTTTCATCAATATTTCTGGTAAGTAGCTCATTTTTGACAATACCATAGAAATCTACAAACCGTAATAATAATATCTTTTGTCTAAATCCAGATAAACAATAAACTATCTGAATTCCAAATGATATCCAAATTCGTTAATCCGCTTTAACGTTACTGAGTAACAAGCATAGAAACCGCCATGTTGTTAATAGTAGTAAGTTTAAGTTGGTAGTTGGAAGGTACTTTTTGCCTTGAGTTAGCGTTTCAGCATAAAAAGCAGTTTCATTACCAAAAATAAAGTCGCAATCAATAAAAAAATAACTATTTTTGTAACTTTGCAGAATCTCTTTCGATATTAATTAAATAATGATGTGATACGTTAGTTTACTAACATCGGTAATATTCTGATTCTCCATCCAATTTGTCATAATTCAAGTAGAAAGTATTAAATATGAACGTTACCTATGTTGTTGTTGAATTTGGAAAAAAATATACTAATATTTTTCGCTATTTTGTAAAAATACCATAGCGTGTTTAATTTAATTCAACAGAGAGAAATAAATATTAGCGTAGCAGTAATTGAGTTATTTGCCAACGACGTTATTATGTTAATAACGAAATTGCTTGTCGGCGGACGGTTGTGGTAGGGCAGTCCCGTAATTGATCAAGGACTAGGTATGTGACAACATTAGCGAAGGGGAAAATAAACTGATAAATACCGACGTCTGGCACAGTAGGTATTCAACGTAACGAAATTTCCATTTTAATTAATCTTTTATATATAAAAAGCAACAAACTCATTGGCTGACTGAACGAGTAACCTTCAGTCTAAAAGTAAGCAGATATAGGATGAAAGTTTGCACGAAACTTTGGCAATTTTGAAGATGGACATGTGAAAATTGATAGAAGAGCTTAGCTATCAATAAAACTTTACTGGTGCTTAATATTTTGGGAATTCATCCTCCAACCCCTAAGGTTGAACAAGGCGTGAGACATAGTAGTTCTATTGAAGTTATTTTTAGATTTAGAAGAATGAAAATTGGATTGTAAGTGGTTACTCACACAAATAACCAGCGGAAAGCATTACAATTATTTTTGGTCTTGTTTAAAAAAAATTGGAATCTTATCCCTTTGAATGTTAAGAGAGTAAAAGTTAATATATAGGCAAACTGAATGATGTATCAATTCTGCTAATTTTAAAATAACGTACTTAGGTAGGTACTCTTCAATTGAAACGCCATCATTACATAACGATTAATGCAAAACCACTTGAGGCACATGATACTACCCAATAAACGACGGACAATAGAAAGACGGACGGTCGCCCTAAGTACCTAAAGTTTTGGTATTGTAGTAAACCATTTTGGACATATTCGTCATTCTAAAACCCCACATATATCTCCAGGGCGGAGAAAGTGAAAAAGATGCTAAGGACATTGCGAGAATAATAGACACTTCTTTACTGCGTTTGGATTGTGATTGCCGTGATCAAGCAACTACAACGTAAATTCTCAAAGAATGATTAACGGTTTCAGAAGGTGCCAACTGATGCATTCGTATTTACTGACACGTATCAAAATTTGTAGGAAGAATGATTTTGTACTTACTTTCCCTTGGTGCAGTTAGTCTCGTCGGAGTTGTCGCGGCAGTCGTTGTCGCCGTCACAAACCCAGTCCCTATGGATGCATAGTCCGTTACTGCATTGGAACTGCTCTGAGGTGCAGTTCATAGTTCCACCTGTGGAGAAAAAAAAATGTTTATACAAAGAGTCCACAAAGGAACAAGTAAAGTACAGCGTATTCGCTTATTGAATTTAATGACTTACTCGAGGAAAATTTAATTTTATCTTACAGATTTCTGCAGCCTTATAATCTTATTTTGTAGTATTATGTTATGTATTTAGATCGCGAGGGTATACTGGCTTATGAGATCAAGGCAATCAGGAGGTTGCAAGCGTCTGTACTCACGACTCGAAAATCAAACTGCCATGATTATCATCATATTTTGTAATCGTCTCCAATGACTTGACTAACAGCTAGAAAATGTATTGTGCTTGAATGTGGACAAGGTGAGTTGTGGTAAACTCACCTTGTCCACATTCAAGCGTGTGTTTCGTGGGAGAAGTCGCCGCAGTCGTTGTCGCCGTCATACAGCCAGCTGAGAGCGATGTACACTACCATGATTTATCATCACATAAAAGTTTGCGATCTTCTCTGACCACTTAGCTAAATACTAGAAAATGAATCATGCTTGTCTATTTACAAGGTGAGTTTACCACAGTGAGTATCGCCGGAGAAGTCGCGACAGCTAGCTGAGCGCGATTCAAACGTTGGTGCTGTGGCAGATGGTGCGGTTCTCGCGGTCGTCGCAGGATCTATACATTCCGTCTACTAGGCTGCTAGACAATGCATAATGCTTGACTTTTAGTGAGTTGAAAAGGTGAGTTTACCACACTGTGTCGCGTTGGGGATGTCGCCCCAGTTGTTGTCGCCGTCGCACAGCCAACTGGGAGCGATGCACACTACCATGATTCATCATCACATAAAAGTTTGCGATCTTCTGTGACCACTTGGCTAAACACTAGAAATTTCGTCATGCTTGTCTATTGACAAGGTTAGTTTACCACAGTGTGTCTCGTCGGAGAAGTCGCCGCAGTCATTGTCGCCGTCGCACAGCCAGCTAAGCGCGATGCACACATTGGTGCTGTGGCAGATGGTGCGGTTTTCGTGTTCGTCGCAGGAACGAGCACATCCCGCCTCGTCTTCGGCCTCCGCGCAGTCGGCGACGCCGTCGCAACGTTTCTCCATCGCAATGCATGTGCAGGATATCTGGAACAATGTAAAGATCAGTATATATGGCACTAAGACTAATTTAAGTCATGAATTTAAGAGAAGTTAACAACAAGATTTTTTCCGTTACAATTCCAGGAGATAGAGTTATATCTAATAAGTAATATTTTTTTAACTCTCGACACGCATAAAGCGATAATGATGTTTGTATTTTAGTTTATTACAACAAGTAATGAAGTTATTGTAATTGATACCGTACAGTTTAATAATAATGATATTTACCAGAAGATTACAATACATAAGATTTGCAAATTAGTTGCCGAACTATATAGGTAATCCTGTATCTCAGGAACTATAGTAATAATATTGTTCTTCACGATTTGCTTTAATTAAAGAGAATAAAAAAGAGTAAATTAAAAAAATTGTGTGTGTCAGCTCCGACGCAGGACGGAGTTGTGTGTGGAGTTTACTCCTTAAGTTCGATAGTCTAACCAGACGCAAACAGAGTTTATTAACTTAAAAAAGATTGATACTGTATGAAAGGTAAAATTAACAAATTAATGAAAATAATATACATATATAAATATATATTTATTCATTTTATATACATTTATTATAACTAATCGACGAAATATTTTACATTAACCTTTTTACAATAGTCAATTTCAGATGTGCATAAATATATCATTAGGAATGTTGATAAATTATGTAATTATTATTATCAGACTATTATCATTTTTTAAAATATTAATTAAATCAACATTGTCTGCATTATTAATTACGTCCATGTGTCTTATTTTAGTTACCATAAACCACTTGTTTCAGATTTAAAAAAAAAATATTTATGTCAATCCGTCATCTTTGTTTGTCAAAGTTGCGGGACATAGGATGCGTAACTTGATGCGCACCAAAAACGTAAAGAGGTCATTCATCGATAGTTTTTAATCCTCACATTTTTCTCATACCGGGCCCCTTATATATGCAAATCGATTCTTAACGAGTAAACTCCAAAAAATCAAAAACCCGACTGTCTCGATATTTTATTACTTCAATAAAAACTGAAAAGAAGAAAACAAGTCCAGTAGTCTTGAATTATGTTTAGTAAGGAATAAAGCTACTTTAATAGTCGGGAGTCGGGACCCATAAAATATTCAAGAATGGATCAAATTTATATTTTAATTTTATTTCATACTTTTTGGTAAGGATTATAAGATGGTATATACCGCAGTCTCAGTGTTGCCAACTCTACGTCTTTTTACGTAGATCTACGTATTTTAGGCCTTTTCTGCAAACCTACTAACTTCAGTCCCAGAATCTACGTATTTTCATATTTTTTTTCAAATTTGTTAAAGAACTTAATTCACTAGAATAAAGAAGAATATTTTCCGTTTCCGTTCGTAGGTTCCCGTTATTGGTTTTGTTGACTAAATTAATGCTGGACGCGGGATTTGTGAAAGCAGAAAAGATAAAACTCTTTGACTTTAATGTACCTAACATTCATAACTAAATTAAAAATTGTAGTTACTTTCTTTTTTCTTTTTTTTTCTTTAAGCATTTTATATTAAAAATTGTATTTTTAAACTTTAAATATTATTCAATTAGTACTTACATCGAATTGATCTTTGCAAAAAGAAATGACTTTCAGTAGATAAAGTTACAGGATTTAGCAAGTTTTAAACATGCGTTCATGTGTAAGTATGTTTATTTCACTTGGCAATTTAAACCACAACTTTTGTAGAGTCTTTTACCAAGTGTATCATGATAACTACTATATTTTTCATGTGATTTATAAGAAATCATTGTTTTGTAATATTAACTCAGAAAGTTTATTTCCTACGTGCTTGCGAGTGTTTGTTTACATAGTTTTGACGTCATAGCATAGATAAATCTATAGACTAAATAGCGTTTTAGTATGTCTTCTAGGTAAAAAAAAATTTTTTTTTCAGTCTGATAGAACAATTATTAACAATTTAAAACATAATTCCAAAAAGTGTCAACTAGCCAATTTAACAACAGTGTATTCTTGTCATTCTCTATACAGAATGAAAAGGAGAGACTGATTTTAAATTAAGTTTTAAATTTAGAGAATCATGCCAGAATCGACACCCACCAGTGTCTGTGTCTGATGGTAAATGTTTACCACAGCATGGTAAATGCTTCCAATGCAGCGAAGTCGCTCTCGGAGAAGTCTCCAAGAACTCTTTGTTCTATCTGCCATTTTTGAAGAAATTGTATAACAAAATACTCGTTTTATTCGGTTTCACCTAACTTCTGCATTTCACTCAGAAATAAGTACGTAGATCTACGTACTTTTCATATGCAAAATTTACCAATTCTACGTAATTCTTTCATCGGGCCTACGCCTTTTTCAAAATCCGAGTTGGCAACACTGCGCAGTCTTGTCACTTCCGTAAGGGAGCAAGTATCGCGGGGATTGTTAAGTACCTTGTGGTAGTCTAAACCATTGATTTATTAAGACATATAGAAACCTTTTCACCAGATTCAAGGCTACAGATGGCCCTCAATTTTCGCAAAAATGTGTGAAGTTAAATCGAGTCGTTACCTATACATCTAATTCATGTAAATTTTATAGTTAACTGGTACCTTTTCGATTAGTCATTTCTTATGTTCTGTTTAGTAGTTTAGGAGAAAATATAAAATTATTCATTTACTTTTATTCGTCGACTATCTAAAATGGCAGTGACTGCATTGTCAACGTCCGGTTCTAAGATAGTGATACCCACAAATGCAGTGTCATTATCCTAGTCTCATAATATGTTTTACCTGGTTAGTTCACAGAAACTAGATGCCAGAGGTTAACTTCAAACGTTGTTAATCACCCTAATACAAAATCAATCAATAACGTTAATGTTGCAGGTTGACGAAAATAATAATTCACGTCACTTGTTTTGGACACTGGTGGCAACTGCCTTAGATAGCTAATTTAATCACCAAAGCAAAGTTAATAATAATTGATTAAACTAAAGACGTAAAATAAATTTTCCATAGCGTTAGGTACAGACAGCACCATGGCAATCTCATTTATTATCAATTTATCACCCAACTAGCGGCCTGTCCCGGCTTCACACGAGTGAGTTAAATACTATGGAAACATAACACAAGTCAACAAAATGAAAAAAAAATTGAGCCTGTTATTTAATGACTATTGTCTAATTGTTTATATCAAAAAATAACCAGAAACCTCATTTTTATTTTAAAAAGTTTGCTTTTGTACTTTATACAATGATAAATAAATGTATAAGACTTTTGTAAAAGGCTGAGGAACTACCGCTTTTAATAAGCAAAAGAAAGGAGTGCTGAAGGATATTGGGTATGGAATAGGAAGCAGTAGAGCAATCACTTATGTGCATGTACACACCTTTTAGAGAAACGACGTATTTTGTAAATGCCTAGAGCGGTAAATGCCTTCCAAAATGAGTGAAAACTACGTGGACCCTGTTTGCTTTATTTGTGGAGATTTTTTGAAAATTTAGAGTCATAACAAGGTTTCACCTGTAGTAACTTCCTATTTGACTTCATAATAAAATATGGACGAATCATGACATATAAAATTTCCAAGTTATTTTTGTTTATTTCACTACCTGCGTTCAGAGTGTCAGAAAAAGAATTATAATATTTTATATGACATACTTTTATTCATTATGGACCATATCATTATTTTATGTCTCAGTTGCATGGAAAAAATATTTATTGAAGGGAATCGACGTATTTTGTGAGTCTTGAGCCGTGGTCTTGAGCAGTAAAATGTCTTCCAAAATGAGTAAAACCTACGTGAACTCTTTTTGCTTCATTTTTCTATTAAAGTAAGGGTCTAAAAATTTTTAGTAGTTTTATTTATTGTAGTAGTTAAAGACTTTATTAAACATATGAAGCTTAATTTTAACTTCGTTTTCGGAGTCAGGACAAAATATGGCCGTCACATGAGGTTATACAAAATTTCCATGTTATTTTTGTTTACTTCACTACCAGCAGCACATTCAGACTGTAAAAAAAGGAATATATTAATAAGTAAGAAATATTTGTATTCGTTATGAACCCTGTGCTTATTTTAATGTCTTCGTCGCAAAAAAATTGGTTTATTAAAATTATTTATTAAGGCTCTACATCAAAATTCTGAATGCATTTTTCCCTGAATTTTCAAAGACTAAAAATTATAAGAAATCATAAAAATATATATTGTTTAAACTTAATCAATATCTTTTTTGCATTCATAGACTTGGTTTTATTGTATTTAGTAAATAAAAGTGATTTGAATAAATATATAAATGTTTTTTTTAAACAACTCAAAGAAAAAAGTTTGCAATTTTCTATGAAATTAAGAATTGCATTCTGATAGTCACATAAGCAAACATACTAAATAAAAAAATTGTTTATTACTTTAATTAGGCATTAGAAATCAAAATCTTGCACAAAGAACTCAGACTTCAAATTCGTGTTGACTGGTGTAATGAATCAGGAAAAATTAACAATAAACAAACAAATATTACCGATTTGAGAAAGTACAATTATTATATACGGAAAGTCTTGTAACATTAAGATTTTTGTTGTCGATCTGTCTTCCGCAGTCGATTTGTCATCTGTCTGTCTACCTGTCATGTAATGTATGTCGTCTTTCTGTCTATTTGTCGTCTATCTGTCTATCTGTTGTCTGTTGTGAATTTCCAAAGATCCTATCTTAGTGTGTCTAAAATTATTTCTGGACAATATAAAATATTGTTTAAATCTCATTTATCTAGATTCAGCGGTTTTAGCTTTGCATTATAAGTCAACCAGCCAATCAATCAATGTTTCCATTTCCCTCTTTACACAATAGAAAAAAGAAGAAATTTATAGAAGAAATAATGACTCATCCCGGCTACACACGGGACTATTGTATTAAATAGACACGAATCAGCATTCGGAAATAATAGGTATATACGTAGTAGTGCAGGCGCTGGAGGTAGTTGAGTATGCAAAATGTGAGTGACGGCAACTATGATCGGATTCTTATACCTGAGACCCTAAATAACGACAAAACACATCTTGCCGCCGGGTGCGGTGGTCCCTTTCCGCACCCTTCACATCCCCTCTTCGCCCATACAGTAAGCATAGCGCTTACGCGTTTAGTGTGTTTTTTTATACACATAAAATAATAGTATTTTCGTGAATTCTTAGTGTCTGTTTTAGGTGTACTACATTAAAAAACGTTAGAAATGTCGTTAGAAGTTGTTAATTTGAAAAGGAAAAAACCTAACGAACAATTTTGCTTGTTTTGCGATAATTCAAGTAATGTGGTGAAAAAACCAAGGTCAAGCACGCTGCTTAATATTAACGAAGCAGCAAATAGACGAAAAGACACCATTAGTGAGAAGTTTTCAAAGCTATATGATCCGGAATCCACAAAACAAGAATTTTCATGGCACCAAGACTGTTTAGCCACGTATATTAGTGGGGAGAAGATAAGGCGTCGAGAAATTGCGTTGCATAAAGAAGAAGAAGTGTCTGCTTCAACTTCCACAGCGAACGTGGAGGAGCTTACTCCAAAATCTCGTTCATCATCAAGGAAACCGGCTGCGTTGGAAAGCTCGTTGAAGTGCATATTTTGTAAGAAGGTAACGAGAAACAAAGATAAGCAGCTACATTTACGCTCCGAAATTTCAGCAGCGGAAAAAAATTTTAGTACTGCACGTAGCAAAGAACATGTTTTCACTCAACTGAGTACTTGTCAACGGCCTGAAGATTTGTTAGCTATTAAAGTGAGATTTTTACTGATATCTCAAAATATAGGATTTAATTTTAATCTGATGAGAGTGATATACACTTCGGATGCTTTACATTTGCATTTGTTGAGGGCTACAGTACAAACATATATATGGAAAAATGCTCATCAAACACAATTACCACTCATTGATTATTGCTCATTTGGTTACGAAAAGCTCAACGATGACTTACGTCCACGGCAAATGACGAAGCCGTCTTTACCAGAGTCCTTAATTCCACCGTGTAAATGTACTGCAAATTGTCGCACAATGTCGTGTAATTGCAAAAAATCACAATTGTTTTGTATTTCATTATGTAAATGCATTAATAACAAATGTCAAAATAAAAATTTGTATTTTTTACCTACTTAAAGCACATTTATGCTTGAATTCACTGGTTTTTCATATATAACTTTAATTTGTTTATTAATAAAAAAAATTAATTACTTTCATTTTCGTTTTTTTATTATTATTCCAGAATCTATCCTCACTTGTTCCACTAGAATAAACTATAAATTATTACCGAAATAATCATTAAAATGATTTTATATCCTGTACTCAATACATTCCCTTTACGAATAAGAGGAGGGGGTAAAAACGAAATGGACCAAAAAATGGACCGGCAAGATTCACATTATTATTCTTTGGCCTTTTCTTCACTTAAATCCATTGGCGGAATTCGGTACTCACATTTTGCATACTCACTTACCTCTAGCGCCCGGTCTATAGGTACGATCTGGTAAAAATGGTTTGGTAATCAGTCAAGTGGTTGAAAAATTGAACGGTAATTAATTCAATTTTTTCTTTTTTTTTTCCTGGAGATCCCGTGTTCGTGGAATTATATAATTTACTAGCTGTCCCAGCGAACTTCGTACCGCCATAAAAAAATAGGGGTTGGTGGTAGAAGGGTGAAAATTTAGGGTTGTATGTATTTTTGTATGATGTATCATAAAAAAAAATTAAAAAGAAATTTTTATCTAATATTAAAAAAAATGTGGGGGGGGGGGGTACCCTTAACATTTAGGGGGATGAAAAATAAATTACATCCGATTCTCAGACCTACCCAATATGCACACAAAATTTCACGAAAATCGGTGGAGCCGTTTCGGAGGAGTTTAACCACAAACACCGCGACACGAGAATTTTATATATTAGATTAGTAAATCTAAAGAAAATATAACTAGAAAAAATTCCATAATTGGTCAGTGCATTCGCCCGGATTGCGAAGGGTGCGGGTTCGAGTCCCGTCTGCTGCCTGGTCCGCGTGGAATTTTTTCTAGTTATATTTTCTTTAGATTTAAACATCAAGCAGTTACATGCTTTAGAAATAATAAAAATTATAACTATTAGATTAGTGTTTTTTCATACATACATGATCATTATCTTTCAGTTAAATACTTACTTGGCACGAAAAGTGTTGTTTGAGACACGGTTGATTGCAACCACCGTCGTCTTCGTTGCCGTCCATGTCCTCAGCAACTACGTCGTATGGGTGCTTTTCGAATATCTGGTGTGCTAGAGATAAAAATTTAATTAATCAAGTACTACCTACAGGTACTCGAAACTTCAATAATATTTGAAGCTTATGTTTTAGCATTTATTGGGTCTGATTCTGACATGAATCTCTAAACATTAAACTTTTGAAAACAGTCTACAGTCCTTTTCATTATCTTTAGAACATAAGCCCCGCTTCAGCTGGGGATACTATTTTTTGGTCACCCATCCAATAACCAACCATTGCGAAATTTGCTTAAATACAACAATCGCAGCCGGACATTACGTAGCGCAGGTGCGTTAGAACATAATAGGGATAAACTTTTGCCAATTTAGTTTTAGGTTTTCTCTGAAGAGGACCATGCCAAAATCAGGTTCAATGTCCATTTATGGATGAAATAAGGCCTTGAATTTCTGGCAAAGCTTAAAAGCATCAATATTTTGGAGAATAATGTTAATGTGACTTCTCTATCAAATGCCTAGTCTCGTGTGTCTTGTTGTAGTTTTTCGTTTGAATACTTACGATTCCAAGGCTCGACCCGCGTGTAGGGGCTGTGCGGCCGGAACACAGGCGGGCCCTGCATGGAGATGGGCCCCGGTGGCTGGTAGGGCGGCACGCGACCCATCACCGAGCGCGGGTCGGCGGGGCCCACGGTGCCATTGGGGTGACGGCCCCCGCCAACCGGCGGTTGCTCATCTGCACTCACTGGCCAAAGCACATCATATTATTAGTCAACGCATTTCTTATCTCTACATTAGCTTTACAAGCCACAGTTGTGGTATAAGAAGCCTTTAGACGAAAGTACATAGGAGAACAGATTTACCATGCGGGATGGGTCATCGGCTTCATGTGCCTTGTGAAGAAGAAGAATGGAGAAGTTCGAGATAAAAATTGTCGGTCACCCTTCCGATGACCGCCCATTGTGAAAGTTGCCTAATTTACACGATTGCTTAACGGACACTTAGCGTGTCCGTTAAGCAATCGTGTAAATCCATGCGCCATCGAGTTTTTCAACGTACGAGGACGTTCGTGTTGGCTGTTTTTTATCTTTTCCAAGATAGTTGTATTTTTTTTTATTCTATGTCTCTTTCTATGTCTATAAATATTACCATACGGGAACCACAGGACCACTCTATCGCTCCATCTCTCTGAGACTTATCTCCCCAGTTTTACTTGACGGTTGGTTAAGGAACATGCAGTCCATAATACTGTGTCTATGAATTGAACTCACCGCATAGCCTAAAGCAGGTGGCAGAGATGACGTAGAACGCGAGGGGCGCGGGTATATTAGTGCGGCGACCAACGGCTTAACTTGCCTTCCGAGCACGAAGACGCTCGATAGAGTAAATTTTTGGCTACATATCGGTTGACCGACCATTGCGGGAGTTGCTTCCATGATCGCAGACCCGAAGCGCTCACTATTTGCGCCGGCGCCGTCAAGCTCCTCAACGTACGTTCGTCTACTTATTAAATGTTCTCTTTCTAGATAGTTGTCAATTTCATGCAAGTGACATTTAGTTCATTACCTATGTGTGTGAATATTAGAATATGGGAATCACAAGACCACCCTATCCCTTCATGGGAACACAGGACCACCCGATCCTTAATGGGACAATAGGAACACCCTATCGCTTCGTCTCTCTCACGCTTATCCGCCAAGTTTTACTTGAGAATTAAGAGAACGCGCAGCCATGTGTCTTTGAATATTACTCACCGCATAGCCAAAAGAAGGTGGCAGAGATGACGTAGAGCGCGAGGGGCGCGGGCATGGTGGCGCGGCGGCGGCTCCGCAGAACGCACGTGGGGGCTCGCATTGCCTAGGTGTTGGCTGCGGACAACGCTCGACCGCCTCTCACGCGCACCATACGCACCATGGCTCACAGTGCCGCTAGTAGCGTACCCGTGTCTGTACACAACATGAACACTTTAATCCGCTTCTTTACTAAAATATGTTCAGTACCCCAAGCACGAACAACTAGCGCGAAAGCTATTCGTGTCTTCATCTCAAAGTTTCTATAGAAAAAGCTAGCTTGTTCTTGCGTCTGGTAGGGGCGCTGCTTGATTTCCATATAAACTTTGACGTTGAAGAACGAATACGGATCTGACAAGTTCGTGATTGGGGTACAGGACACGTTAAGCCTCACGCCTGGGAACTCACTTAGATATGTAGCACGTTAGGTATGATGGCTTAACCCTCATATTCAAGAAACTGACTGACTGAGCGACCAAATAGTCATGGCCGTTTGTTGAATTTTTTTAGGTATGGTGGGAGTACTTCACGTGGTGCAAGGTTACACACCCTAAGTTATTCTGCCGTGCTCGAGTAAATCTAAAAATCTCCGCTTGGGCTACCATAAGTGAGTACGTAAGACGGCTGGTGCGAGCCTGGAGCTGCATTCTTAAAATCGATCCGATGATCGACATTTATCTACGGCATTTTATCGATATAAATGACGTGGAGTCGCAACAAAACACCGAAGTTCACGATAAACTTCGTCGAGTCGGGTCCTACTTCTGCATCATTGAAAGCTATGTCTGAGGAAGTACCCTCCACCTTATAGAAGATAGTAAAATAACACTACCTTGGGTAAGGGATTGGATCAGGGTAGGCTATCGTGACCGCTTACCATAAGCGGGCCATAAGCTTGTTTACCACCCTTTTAGCATTTAAAAAAAATGAGATCATAGTATGCATGTAGACTATGAAACGGCAGATAGCTTTTTGTGAACACTGATGAATGATATAGCCACGGTGCTATAGAATTTCGTATTGGTTTCAATTTACTGGTAGAGCTACGAAAAACACTCTATCTCAGAAACTATTGAGTCTACAGAAACAATTATTGTAATATTGTAGCAAATTTTGTCTAATTTAAGAACGATCTGAAAAATTACTATCAAAATCTAGTATTTTAGGGTTATAATCGGCAAAATCTGGAAAAAACATCCGAAATTTTCGCGTAGTTAGACAAAGTTGCGTTTGGCAGTCGAGGTCACAAACTTAGATTATTCATTGGGTGAATATCATAAACATGTGTGCAAAAATTCAGTACTACCGGATTTGATGCAAGCTCTAATGTATAAATTTACTAGGCTAAATTTTGTAAGGCTTTTTTCGGAAACAATTTGGTATGGTTTATAGCGAATTAAATCGAATTTAAACACGTCCTGAGAAGATTGTATCAAAATCTACTATTTTCAATTTTGAATTCGTTGCTCGAGTGAATTCGAACTTGGGTTTATTCATTGGACCAACATCATAGCAAGTCTGCAAAAAACGGAACTACCAGGTTTGACGCATATTCTGAAGTATTATTTTACTGGACAAGTGTGAAAACATCTGAAAACACTATAAATATTAAGTATGAAGGATTATGAATAAAAACAAATGCGTCTCGCTTCATTACCGGTATCGCCTGCGTTTTAATGAACATACCTAATAAGTGTTAGTATTCCATGAGAATTTCTTCTATTATACTTCTAAGAGAATAACAGGTATTTATTTATTCGGTTTACCAGTAATATAACACAATGACAGCAAGTATACAATATCGCCGTAGAGTGTCACACATTTGTATTCAGAAATCAGAAATCAATATATTGTTATTCAATACGAACGATGCATATATATGCACCATGCATAAAAAAAACAATATATTTTGAATAGGTATAATTTAAAAGCGTGATTTATAAACCTTTTTTCATTATTTTTGATGTTCCGGATAATTTACACGGTCCGTGGTCGCAAGACTGAACTTTTCTTGTATATTAAGCTACGATTGTTTAAATATTTATACTTAAGTAATTGTTTAATTTTAAAAATTCTAAGGTACGAAAATAAAAACGAGCGAGCCTTATCGTACAGTAGTAGACAGTAGTCGGTTATGATGTGTAACATTTGAAACCTCACCTTATATTAGTAAAAAAAGAAATAAAACCTACTACAAAAGGCATAAGCCATTTGAATATTATTTTCTAAAAGCAAATCAATTAGCGCGTGCTTTCACGACTTCCTGTTATACACTTCCGTCCCATTTCACGAAATCACCCCCACAAATTGCAGGAAAGCGAGAGGAAAGATGTTACACATCAAAAAGTATTTTTGGTATAATACAATATTCTATGTAATCGGTAACGAAAAGTAATTAAACAAGTTCTTAAAAAATAAAGCCGTTTCATGAAGTAGGTACCAATCAAGAATATTCTATTTACTTGGTAAGAGAAGATAAACGAATAGTTTAAGCAAATATTTTCCAACCACGAGAGGGTTGGGGGGCAGAACTCCTGAACAATATAATTTAAAAACTTTTCTAGAATAGTTTAAGTTTATTTTATTAAGTGACAGAAAGAAAAAAAAACAGTGTTTAACCGATAAAATTTTCATTCAGTAGGTAGGTAGGAATAAGTAGGTTTATTAGGAATTCGATAATACCTGACACTATGGTTTGCCACTAAATGAAATTAAGCTTAACATAACGTAACAACTTATTTTAAAATATATGAAATATCTATATCCTTGTATTATTATTATGAAATATCTTCGTACCTAACTAAAAGGAGTACTGATACACTCAATCGCGCACCGATATCTCTTATTCCCTGCAAGCCCTGTCGTCTATCACGTCGTATGACGCAAAACCACTATTCTGTTAATTCAAACGCAGTGTACATCGAATTAAGGTTGGGAGTTGGCGGCCATGTTGTGGCGCTGTTCGCGCATGCATGCTCACGCTCGATACCTTACGAGCTACTTGTTGATCCGAGCCCATTCAACACGCAGCCGGCCGCGCATTCTACGCAGTTCGAACCTCACAGTTGGAGGCTGGGTCGGTTTTATTTTTAACCTGAGGATTCTTTCAGCCTGTCTAGCTACAGGATCAATGGTTTTTTTTATATAAAAACACTTATGTGGATCTTTCTTCATTTCATCTTTCAATATTACATTACTTCACTCTGTCTATTAACTATTTGCTTAATAAAACAATGTGAAAAAAACCTTTTGTTATTTGACCCAACCAATCATTAAATTGTTCAAATATATTTCTTTGTTTCTGAGTTTAGGTACTTAGATATCAAACGTACCTCCAATTATATTTTTATAGTATCCAATGAAAGCCAATGAAATATTTGATACGTATTGCGCGAGTTATAATAAGTAACAAGCCAATCAACTATCAAAAAAGCATATTATGTACTGTATCAAAGATTCAAAGTATGGATACTGTAAATTAGAAAAATAAAGAAAAGGAAGAGTTCAAGATCCGTATTGAAGATCGAAGAAAAATGGCACGAAACAAAAGTAGGAAAAAGTGCACAGTTACATAACGTAACAGAGACTTTCATTTGTTTAATACCAAAAACAATTGATGAGAAATAAATACTTTTTGTTATGTAAAAAAAAATGCAAACAAGTATTTATCTGACGAATACCATAATAGTCTTCAGACATACACTAGCGATATCAGAATTTTATTCGCGCGTTGTCTACCCTAGCTTTATCAGTTATCAGATCTCATGTACATTGTAGAGCCATTGTATAACAGAAAAGTAATAATGACCAGTGGACAAGAAATGGCCCAGCCACATATTTTGACTAAGGTGTAAAGTTTGTAAAGTTAGGACTTGTATTGTTAAGACGTGTAGAATTAGAAGCTTAATTATACAATCTACATGAGATCTGATAATTTTTTGACAGTGCCGAGTCATATGGTCTCGTCTTGGCAATGTTTAATAAGAAAATATTTTTGGTGGGATCTAATGTTCTGTGGAGCACTAGAAGCAAACTCACCGACAGGAAAACAGCACCACGAAATCGCTTATTTGTTTGGTGGTTGCTTCAGTAGCGTTCTTGTGGGAGCGGGAATTCAGCTACCCTCTATCTTTCTTGTTTCTTTTATTTTGTTTTATTTTTAAGTTTCTGATTGTTGCTTTATAAGCAAAATATACATGTATTTCTTATGAGCTTTGATTCATTATTATTTTTATTAACATATTTTTGAAAAAGACCAAATTAAGACAATGAAACAACTTCTTAAGAAATCGTTTTCCTAAGTAAAAAAATAAAATAATCACACCAGAATTATTTGCAGGGGGCATGGGTTAACTAAGCTATACCTAGTCAAGCTAATTTTGCATTAAGTAATACACGAATTCACAGAAATTTCCGCATCAGAAAAAGCATTATTAAGATGTAAATTTATGAATATATGTGACATGCGGGCGCTCAAGAAAACGTGTCTTCCATAACGCCGAAGAGCTTTTATTTATATCTTGGATTCTCATGTTTGATGATTTTTTATAATATCTATAACTAAAAGATGGGCATAATAAAAAATTTAAAATTTACCTTTTACTTAAAGCAAATTGGTCTATCGCAGAAAAATGATTTCTCTCTACTATCAAATATTTATTTCTGCAAGCTTGATTTTCTTGCAGCAATAAAGCAACAAATGAATACGATTTTTTTCAAAATAACTAAGTAGATTAAAAGCAATTTTGGTATTTTATTTTTGAACACCCCAAGAAAAGAAATATGTGGATAAATGACAGTATTCTTTGAATCGCCATTACTTATGTGAGATTTAACAAACAAGAATTGAAAATTAAATAGTTCATACCCCACAAATATGTTCTAATATAATTTGGTATAAGTAATTTTATTTATTTTAACAATGTTTTGTAATTGTGTCAGTAAATCGAGCGATCAATACGGGGGTAGGTACGCGGCGGATTGTCCACACCCGCCCCCGCACCGCTCCCTTGTCCCGCCGCAGCCCTGAAAGCCTGAAATTCAACACCTTCATCCGCCCACGGACCCAACTTTGTCTACATAGTTCAATTTACTGGCATATAATATATCTTCAACAAATCCCTCGACCATGTTTCTTCTGCACATTATTTTTACACAGAGCTTTAAAAAGTTGTGAACGTCTTACCTTTGGAATTAACTCTGCTGAAACACTATCGGCAATCCGTGAAAACACACATGAAAACCACGTAAGATAACCAGCAAGGCCGACACGCACAGTTCACAGGCTGATTGGTTTTATTTTCAACACAAGCACCTTGCAAGGCTAGCTTTTGTCGCCGCCTTGTGTTATCGTCACGAGGTCAAAATGGATACTAGGCGAGCTAAGGCCTGGGTCTGAGTGCGCGCGCCGCTCGCACCCGAGCCCCGCCGCGTCCCGCGTCGATGAATGGAACGGTCCTCCCCTGTCAGACTCCTTACATAAATCCCTTTCAGTAGTCTCTTTTACATTTTATTGTATGTGCCACACAGAATAACGCTCGATGAAAATAGACACAGTGGTCTTTAATAAAGTTCTATACATGCGACTTATGATTGATTTTATGTAATTCTTTCTTACCTAAGATTATACTTATTGATAAAAAATAACTTACCATTTAAACACAAAAGTCTTTGTATCTATTTATCTTGGTGTTAAATTGGTAGGTAAATCTTATGTAATATCGAAAAGAAACAGTAAATGGGTCTTGTATCAATGATAAGTAATCTCTAGTTTTATGTATTTTTTTCAATTTTATTAAAAAAAAAATTCTCAAATATTTTAACTCAAGCTCAACATTATGATCTGTCATTATGATCTATTTAGTTCATAGCGATATCTTAAATTCGTATTTTATGCAGAGCACTTAAACTATTGTTGTACTTTCATAAAATGACATCCCTGAAATTTTGTATGATACTCTTATGATACTGTTCACGCACTCATTAATCACTTAGTTCAGTAAAATTCTGCTAGATGGCACTAGATAATTGACCTCAGAATGTGTTTTTCATTATTCTGATGCCTCTACAGAACCTTGCGAACAAGCGTGAGACTTGCTTTCATATTTTGGAATGAGTCTAACAGGTGGCAGTAAAGTCTCCACATCAGAAATTTCCATTCCATACCATTGAAAAAATAAACAAATGTAATAAATAGTTTAATTTTTTTAATTTTTAAGCATTTAAATGCTAGATGTTTAAATGTAAAGAAAAAATTACTAGTAAAAATTCTAGACAAAAAATACTATTAAAATTTTCTTTATACTACATTCCTGATTTATAAATAAAACTTTTGGGAAAAAATCCATTTATTAATATAATGAATAAATTCTTAAAGTTTTTTGGTATGGTGAGAAATTAATAGGCAAGTAGGTACTTAAATAAACAACGAAAATAAAATGGCTAGACTAGAGCTTTGTGACGGTAATTATCTTGACTTCGTCTATGATATTTCATTTGATCATGTAGTGTTGCCACGCTACGCTTTAACCTATCGCACAAGCGTTGAGAGTACCTAGGTAAAGAGAGAAAATAAGTATGTCTGTCTCGTTCTCTCGGTGACGTCTCAGTGCCGTCCGAGCTATTCCTCATTCTTGTCCGTGCGCTCGCGCCGACTGCACAAGTGTTCAAAAGAAAAAAAATATTCTTATGGTTAAGAAAATTAATAAAATATGAAAAGAAAATTGAAGAAAAACGTCGCCGTAAAACTCAACGTATTATCTCCTCCGATGAAGATTATACAGAAAATGAAGGTGGTTACTGTTTTTCTATTTTTATTTCTCGTTGAATTCTTCGAGAAAATTATTTACAAAAAAAATTATTCCCTTTGTATTCTTCGGGATAATTTTTGAAGTATATAAATTTATATACTTATTTAGTTTGTCGTTGATACACTACCCAATTAATTAATTTATTATTTGGTATCTACTTTACACAACTGTGTTAAGCTTGCATACCTTATTTCATATAATTGCATTGTGCAAACTTTTTTCTTTCTACCTACATTAAAAAAATAACTTGCCATTTTTCGCATTTGTCTTGAGCATATATTATTTCATTTCAGTGCATTGTGAACCGGGAGTCACTGAATTAGTAAATTTAGAAGATACATTAGATAACACTGCACCCATTCCTATTGAAGAATTGACAGCGGCAGGCGACGAAATATGCCTCAATGGTAATAATGAGGATCTTGTCATCGAAACCGGCACCGAAGATTTTGACACTGAGATGCTACAGTTACTTGGTGAGGTCGAGCCCGACATAGTCGAGTGTGGCGAGGAAATCCAAGCTGACATCGCCACTAGATTTCAACAGATTTTATTAAATGGTCTAAAAAAGGAAAATAGGGAGGAACTTTCTAAGAAATATCCATACCCAAAAAATGTACCCCTCTTGAAGACTCCTACTCTGAACCCAGAGATAGAAGCTATGCTCGCAGATGCATGTCGTTTACGAGATAAACGTTTATGTGCTAAGCAAAATCAATTAGGCAAGGCGTTATCAGCTTTAGGTAAAGCGATGACCGGTCTTTTAAAAAAGAACCCCAACATTTCGGAGGTAGTTCGTATATTAAATGACACAGGTAAACTTTTAGCCGATTCTCATTACGCAGAAACAGATACTCGGCGATCAGTTTTTATTCCATTGATAGATAAGTTGCTCATTGAGTCTTTTAAAAATCGTAAAAGAGATTGTTCGGAGAAAGTTTAGGTGATTTGGTAAAAAACTCTCGTGTCATTAAAAAAAAACAAGTAGCTTAATTCAAGCCACACCATCGACTTCTAGCTCAAATTTAAACTCCAAAGGCCCATCGACTCGAACACGGCAGCAGTGGGTGAGTCAGAACTATCCGCAATATCGAGCCGGTGGGCAACGTATACAATATCCGAGTCGGCGGCGCGCGGAGCACACAACAACCGCCACTGGCGTCGGCCAGCCTGCCAACCCGCCGTCAACCGCTGGCACTCCCGCCGCCACCGCCGCCGCCGTATCAGCGCCAAATTGCGCAGCGGCAGCGTGCGGCCGGCGATCGGTCGCAGAAATAGATCAGGTACGAATTGCTGGCCGTTTAAAGTATTTTATTAATGAGTGGCGCCTTAATACAGAGGATGAATTTATTTTAAATACTGTGACGGGATATTCGATCCCCTTTGTTACTGTACCCAAACAACGTACAGAGGAATATCCAAAACGATAGTTTTCAGTAAATGCAGCTGTCGAGCTTAGACACCAGATTCAACATTTACTCGATATAAAAGAAATTAGGAAATGCGATCCAGTTAGAGGACAATTTATATCTGTCATTTTTTTAGTGCCAAAAACTGACGGCACTAAAAGGTTTATCTTATATCTTAAAAAATTAAATAAATATGTTTATGTCAACCATTTTAAAATGGAAGATATTAGAACAGCGACTAGGCTAATGACACAAGGATGCTTTATGGCAAATATAGATTTACAGGAGGCTTATTTCTTGATACCAATCCATATGAATTATAGGAAATATTTACGATTTTATTTTGAAGATCTATATGAATTTAATGTACTTCCTTTTGGTCTGTGCTCCGCCCCTTATATTTTCACGAAGATTTTACAACCGGTCATGACTCATTTAAGATCGCGTGGATTTAAATCTGTACGTTATTTCGATGACCCACAATTGATTGGTAATTCGAAACAAGATTGTTTGAATAATATAAAAATTACAGTTGACATGTTACAAAAATTAGGATTTGTTTTAAACTACAAAAAGAGTACTTTAAAACCCAGAACAAGTTGTAGATTTTTAAGGCTTCATTCTTAATTCGGAAACTATGACTTTACATCTACCCAATCATAAAAGATATAGTTTTTTACAATATATAGAAATACTTTTAACAGTAAAGAGCATTCGCATAAGAGAATTTGCAAAAATACTCGGTTCAATTACTGCCGCTTGTCCCGCAGTTGCCTGTGGGTGGGTTTACACGAAATTACTTGAAAGGGCCAAATATTTAGCATTGCAAAATAATAATGATAATTACGATTGTTTCATGTCTGTTCCAATAAATTTACGCGAAGACCTCTTCTGGTGGAAAAAGCAAATTTATATTAGTTACTTTCAATCCAATAAGGCAATATAAGTATGAAATGGAGATATTTACTGATGCCTCCACTACCGGGTGGGGAGTAGCATGTAGTGGTGATAAAACCGGAGGTATATGGACTGAATCGGAGGCAAAAAATCATATCAATTACCTAGAACTTTTAGCTGTGTACTATGGTCTAAGGTCATTCGCTAAAAATAGATCTGGCTGTGATATACTCGCATTATTACGCATAGATAATACCACCGCGATTTCTTACGTTAACCGAATGGGTGGAGTACAATATCCTCACTTAAATCGATTAGCAACCATAATATGGAAATGGTGTGTAGAAAGAAAGCTATTTATTTTTGCCTCCTATATTAAATCTTCCTTAAATATAGAAGCAGATAGTGAAACACGAAAATTAAATATTGACACTGAATGGGAATTGGCCCCATATGCGTTTTCAAAAATCGTTAACAGTTTTGGTAAGCCGAATATTAACCTTGGGTCAATGCTAAGTGACCTAGCTATATAGCTTGGAAAAGAGACCCGTATGCTGTAAATATAGACGCATTCACTGTAGAATGGTCAGATTTCTTCTACGCGTTCCCTCCGTTTTCACTAATTTTAAAAGTACTGAACAAAATTATAAGTGATAATGCTACCGGGATTTTAGTTGTACCGCAGTGGCCTTCTCAGCCATGGTACCCACTTTTTATATCATTATCTTTTACCGAAATATTATTTTTCCCGCCAAGTAAACATCTCCTTTCATCTACTTTCAGATCGACACACCCGCAGGCTCAACACCTTTCCCTGGCAGTGAGTGTGTTATCCGGGAAGCCATTATCAGACAAAAAATACCAGAGTCTGCAACACAAATCATGATCTCTTCTTTGTTAAAAAATACTGTATCTCAATATTCCTCAGGGTTAAAAAAATGGTGGATATATTGTAATCAAAACAGTTGTGATTTTTATAATGTTAGTGTGCCTTCTTTATTAGCTCTTCTTACTGAATGTTTTCAATCAAGGGCTTTTTAAGGAACGTTAAACAGCTTAAGATCAGCTATATCTTTAATTTCTACAGGTTGTAATATTAGTAATGAAGATAGAATTAAACGTTTTTTTAAAGGAATTTATAAACTCAAACCTGTTTTTCCACGTTATGGGGTAACGTGGGACCCTAGCACTGTTTTAAATTATATAGAGAGCCTACCAAATGATTCCATAGATTTAGAATTGTTAAGT